CCCCCCCCCCGCCGCCGACTCAAGGACCTGACTCTGGCCATCCGGCCCTCTCTGTGCTCTTTGCCAAAAATTCCCATCAACTGCCTCCCCATCTTAACCTGGACCCCCATGCACCCCACTACTCCCCTCTCTCCTGTTCCCTGGAAGGCTTGGCTACAAGCACTTCTCTGCTTCCCACCTCCCACTCTTTTCCCATCTCACTACCGCCTGGTGCTTCCTACCATGCCAATGACACAGCTCTGTTGGTGGCCACTGGTGACCTTGTTATGAAATCCAGTGTACATTTGTTAGTCCTTGTCTTTTGGCTGAAGTTGGGGGTGCCATCATGCTGGATATTAGAAATGATGGTATGGTTTGGGAGTAGACTGCGGGACCCAGCAGTACCAAATCCTGGGCCCCTGAGTTTGAGCCCCACACCCACATCAGGCTCTGCACTGGCAATGCAGAACCTACTTGAGATTCTCTCTCTCTCTCTCTCTCTCTCTCTCTCTCTCTGTCCTTCCCCAACTCATGCTCTCTCTCAAAATAAATAAACATTTTTTAAAAAGTTAAACAAACAAACAAACAAAAAACTAGCAAGAGATAGTAAGGAGCTGGACCTAAAGGAAATTGTGAGACCTGCTCAACTCAGCTTCCACTCTGCCCACCTCACTTTTCTCCACCCCAGACTACCGTCTCCCCACTGTGACAAGGAGAGAGGCTGACCAAAGCCCGCACCAGCTCCAGTGAAGAAACACTCAAAGTTGAGTGCGTGTGCCATCACACTTGGCAGGAGGCTGGCTCCGGTGGGTGGAGGCCAAGTCCGGGAAGGACAGGAAAGCATCAGGGAGAACGCAGACCCCGCCCTGCTTACCACTTACAGCTTGAGGAGCCGGAGGAGAGACCCACACCCCTGCATACCAACCCCTCCTGCTCCCTGACCCTTTTCATTCTCACTAGCAAACTCAGCTTCAGCAGAATCTCCAAACCGAACACTAAGCTCAGCGTTCCTCTTTCACGGGGAGGAGCTAAAATGTGCCGGGGGAGAATGAGGACAGACCTAGGAACCATTCCCAGGAAGCCACCATCATTCTTGAGACCGTCGCTACTCTGGACAACCCACGCTTCTGGTTTTCTCCTGCTTCCATGGCCAGCCTTGCTCTGTCTCCTCTGCTGCCCCCAGCTCAGAGGCTCTCAAGCTTGAGTGCATCCAGAACCACACTGGGAGCTTGACAAGATCAGATTCCTGGGCTCCTTCAGACCTGCCAAATCTGAATCGGCACAGACAGAGGTTGGGGGTCCATTTTTACACAAGTCCCAAGGGTGACTCAGGGCTTATTTTGCAGAATACTGCCTTAAGGGCTGATGGTCTTGAGGGTTCTACCCTAACTCTCCTTCTCACTTCAGCCCAAGGCCCCTGGAGCAGATCTGGCCCTTGAATATGTTCTGGTTGGCCCGTGTTGTTTTTTGATTTTTTTTTTTTTATACTTCTTTTGAGAGAGAGAACATGCACTAGTGCGGGTGCGCACTTGAGTAGGGGAGGGGCAGAGAGAGAGGGAGGGAGAGAGAGAAAATCCCAAGTAGGCTCCATGCTCAGTGTGGAGCCCGATGTAGGGCTCGATCCTCTGACCTTGAGATCACGACCTGAGCCAAAGTCAAGACTCAGATGCTTAACCGACTGAGCCAACAGGTGCCCCCACTATTGTTTTTTTAAATTGAATCAGTTGTCAACACTAAAATTGACAGATGTCATGTAGGCCATCTACAAGAAATCAGAAGATGAGGCAGCAGGAATCCACATTCCCATATGTTGGCCATCAGTGAGAAATAGGGAGTGTTGCCCCATTGGTTGGAGCTTAGGCCCCAGGGCCACCTGCCAGAGATTCCAGTTCACCCCCGTCCAGCCATGCCCCCCTGGCATCTGAAGCAGGAGCTGGAGAGAAGGAGCTTGGCTGCCATGGTTTCAAGCTCCCTCCGATGGGAGCCTGTGCACCCCATGTTCCATGAAAGCCTACCAGGCCCTCAGTGCCCTTGGCTCCCACCTCCTGGCCTTTGTGCACCACATTTCCTCTGCCTGGGAGGCTCATTCCCTCTCTACCTGGCTAATTCCTGCCGGTCCTCCAGGAAGCCCCTGCCCTGAGGTCCTAGGACAGCTCTGGTGCCCCTCCTGGACGCTCCCACAGTGCCAGGGGTGCCAGAAGAAAGCTCACCTAATTAAATTAGAATTTCAGATGACGGTGAAGCTCTTATTAGTATGGCTCAGGCAATATTTTATTTGCCAAATCACTGTGACGAGGTCTGTATTTCCCCCTCGCTGTCCTTATTGCCACCTTCTCTCACCTTCTCAAGATGGTAAGCTCCACGAGGCTAGGGACTCCTCCCAGCTTGTGTACCCCTGTAGTGTCAGTCCTCGCTTTCCACTGGGGTTTGGGACACTAGCGGGAAACTTAGAAACAAATGATGTTTTTTTAAGTAGGCTCCACGCCCAATGTGGGGCTTGAACTCACAACCCTGAGATCAAGGGGCAGCTCAGTCAGTTAAGCATCTGACTCTTGATTTTGGTCCAGATCATGATCTCAGTTGATGAGATTGAGCCCTACATCAGGGTCTACACTGACAGCGCAGAACCTGCTTGGGATTCTCTCTCTCCCTCTCTGTTTACCCCTTCCCCACTCACACGTGCACACCTGTGCACATGCAGGCTCTCTCTTTCTCTCAAAATACATAAATAAACTTTAAAAAAAAAAAAGAAAGAAAAAGGAGGGGCACCTAGATGGCTCAGTCAGTTAAGCGGTGGACTCTTGATTTCTGCTTAGGTCATGATCTCACAGTTCACGGGTTCGAGCACCACACCGGGCTCTGCACTCACAGGGCAGACCCTGCTTCAGATCCTGTGTTTCTCTCTCTCTGCCCCTCCCCCCACCTCAAAAATAAATAAATGTTAAAAAGTTTTTTTGAAAGAAAAGACAATGTGTAGGAAGGGGCTGGACCCACGGCTGTGTACTCAGGCGTGGCCTGAGGAGCCATAGATGCAGGATTTGGTCCCGATCCCACAGACACCCAAAGCCCACCGTTGGCTCCCTCCACAACACTGCCTCCCTAGTCCCTGGAACACAGGGGCATTGGCGGCGGGGGGGCGGGGTGCAGAGGATTCATTTAGGATGAATGTCATGTGGGGACCCTGCCCAGACAGCTTCTCAAAGGGCCCAGGTGCCAGCTCCTTAGAGACTTAGTTCTCTCTGTGCCCTCCGAGAAGCCCAGCAGGTGCAATGGCAGGTTGAGGTCCGAGGAGGGCTCCGCCTCCTCATTCCAGACGGCACCACCCTGCACATGCTTCCAGTCAGAGCACCGTTGGTCTGAGTTTGGAACTTTCCTGAGCCTCAGCCTCTTCCTCGGGCACTTCTCATTAGCAAAGCTGCTGCCAGCTGAGAGTCTGGGTACAAGGAATTCCCACAGGCCTGGTGGTTGCGTAAGTGTAGCAGCCCAGGACCCGAGCCCCTCCCCAGGCTGGGCCAGGCCGGGCCCGCATTCCCCGGGCATACAGATGTGTGCCCACGCGCCATGGTCGTCTCTGACCCCAGCCTACAGCCTGCGTTTCCTTGACTGTCTCTGCCTCTTCCCCCAGCCTCAGGACGGCGGAACAAGCCCCAGCTCTGGCCAAAAGCTCAGGCACTGATCACAGCCTGCCAGCAGCTTGGGGCTGCTTCACTCCATATGCAAAGTAAGAAGGTGAGCAACCCCACCTGCCTCCCGGCACACTGTCACCAAATACCATCCCCCATACCTTCCCACATCTCCAGCCCACGTCGTCGTATACAAGGGAACTATGACTTGTCAGAGCCGGAAGGGACCTCAGACTAGCATTGACTCCTCCAGCTTCCACTTGTCCAGAGTTGGAAACCGATGCAGAGAAAGGGACACAGGTGGTGAGTGGCAGGGCTGAGCTACTCCTCATTCCCTATCCCCCAGCCCGAAGGACAGCTGTGCAGGGCACTTCTGAGAGTGCAATCAGACGACTTCATGCTCCTCCAGGAACCTGAGCTTCCTGCCAACTCTGCCCTCAGCTGCCCACACTGTGATTTCATGTGTACACTTCCAAAGAGATCAGAGAATCAGGGTCCTGGGGAGGGTGTCCTGGATACCGCCTATACCCGGAAGCCTGGAGGACACAACCAGGGGTCTCTGTGCCAGGCAGCCCTGTGAGCGGGGAGGGAAGTCTGCAGTGGGGTTCAAGTGCCTCCCCCCCACCAGGCCATGGAAGCCCTGTGATTGTACAGCTTATCCTGGGCCTAGGAGGGTTTCCCAGAGTCTCTACAGGTAGTTCCCCAGCAATGGAAGTCCCAGCTCCCAGCATCAGCTGTGTCCCCTCATTGGAGGAGCACAGCCTGGGATGCAGCCTGCACAAGTGGAATCCGAGGGCTCCCCCAGCCTCCTGTCAGGAATCTCAATTCAGAGCCAGGCGGCTGTTGGCTTGCAGGGTATATTTAGAAAAGTCAGGCTCCACTTGCTCCCTGTTCCCTTACAAAGTGTGAACTGCACCCATCACATGGAAATGTGATTCACTTCTCAGCAACCAGGCTGAGCTGCTTCCCACCGCCTCCAAGCAACCCTCCCTCTCTGCCCCACTCAGCCCTCCTGTGCCCATCTCCTCCTGTGCCCCACGTGGAGCCGGAGGCTCCGGCAGCACCGTGACCTGGTGGGACAGGCAGAAGGTGCCTCCACGGTCAGAGGCAGAATGTCTCTTGTGCATCTTTCGCAGCAATGCATTGATCTT